CACGTTGTTCCTCTGATGACCAACCTTGCAGAGGATTTGGGACCGGGAAAAAGGCAGTCAAGCTGCCACACCTTTGTGCTCTGGTCCTGACACTCCCACTCCTGCCTCCCTGTTCCGTACACTTGGCAAAGGACATAAACCCGCAGCCAGTCCTGGGCTCGTTCTGTGGGCGAAACAAGGTGGAGTTGTGTCAGGAAGAACCTTTCCTAGGTGAAAGGTTGTGGGGTTAAAACTCAGGACGCTGGAGGCAGATGGTGAGTGTGGCTCAGCCTCAGCAGCTCCAACTCCAGCGTTTCTGACACAAAGATCTGTTGTCTTGAGTAGCGTGTATTTCTCCTGTTACGTGGCTGAGGCCTGGCTGCTCAGACAGCTCTGAGCCACGCCCCGCAGGAAGGGGGCTGCCGGAGGTAGCAGCCAGCCTCGGCTCCCCAGACACCTGCCGGCTCGTGTGGGCATGAGCATCTGGGCTTCGGGGTCTCAGCAAAGCCACCATCATGTCCTGGGAGTCCCTGAGTGCAGCCCACATCAGCCTTCCCCCCCGTCCCTCAGACTGGTTTTTTATATATATTTTTTTAATGTGTTTATTTTATTTTGAAAGACAGAGACAGAGAGCAAGCCGGGGAGGGGCAGAGAAAGAGGGAGACACAGAACCTGAAGCAGACACCGGGCTCAGAGCTGTCAGCACAGAGCCTGATGTGGGGCTCGAAACCACAAACCGTGAGATCATGACCTGAGCCGAAGTCAGACACTCAACCGACTGAGCCCCCCAGGCGCCCCTTGAGGAGGGGATTCCCTTCCTGCCTCTGGCAGGCCGAGGGCTGGGTCTCTACTCCCTTGTCCTTGGGTCGCATTTCTGGAGGAAATGTGCTGCCTCTGCCATCCCTGTCCTTTGGGGTGCGCACACTGGGTCAGCCCTCCTGTTGTGGGGGAAATGTGCCCAACACTGTGGGAACATGGATGTGCAGGAGCAGCAGCTGCTACCTTGGCGGAGCCAGGGAGGGGAGGCCTGGCTGATTCCGGGGAGGGGGAAGCGAAAGACAACAGCTGGGAACAGGAGCGGGTTTGGACTGGGATTGGGAGCGGAATTTAGCCCAGCCGAAGTGCCGAGCAAAGGCCCGATAGTGTAAAGGCTCTGGGCACATCAGACTCGCAGTGCAGCCCGGGGCTGCTGGGTAAGTTCGGGGGGCGGGGGGAGGGGGGTTCTTCAGAAACAAGGTTGAAAAAGGCGGCTGGAACCAGATCATGGGCCACTGGACTTTGTCGTCTCTGAGATGACAAGCCCTTGAGAATTGCACAAGAAGGACGCAGGTGTGGCTGGGGCTGAGTGTGGGAAACAACACTGGCACTGGCTGGCTCCGGGCCCAGGAGGGAGAAGAAAGGGACAAAAGGATCGGGACAGGTTCCCCAGGGACAGTCCTGAACTCTCCCCAGCCCTTTGCCTACCTGACTCTTCTTACTTTAGGTAGCATTTTCTCTGTGACGTTCCCCTGGGTGTCCCCACCACAGCCCCACCCACACAGGGTCAGGAGCCCATACTCTGTGCCCCGCTTCCCCTCCAGGATGGTGAGAAGTACGTTTCTGTGGTTTTAAGCCACCAAGTTACAGTAGTCATGAGACACGAGCGCAGAGTAAGGACAGAGTGGGAGGTCTTTGGAAGTTTGGGGCTGGCGCAGCTGGAGGTGAGCGGTGTGCTTAGCCTACACGGGGACACAGGACAGAGGCAGCCCTGTTGACTTTGGAGTGCCACCCGGACACGGGAAAAGCCATGCCCAGAGCACTGCTGCCACTACCTTAGCAACGTGAGCTGCCTCACATCCGTCAAGACCAGCAAGGTGGCCGCGGAGCCTCTGGTGCACATTCAAACACACCGTCCCCAGAAGAGACCCGAGCGGCCCCCTTTATGCCCTCCCAGGTCTGTCTCAGGTTTTATCCCCGGTGACTGGTTTGAAGATTTCATTAGGAACCAGAGAATTACTCTTTATTTTTCTTTTTACAAAACGCATTTGTCTGCAGCAGTTGGTGCCTCCGCCTCCTGTGATGAGTCGGGCTCGGAGAGTCCTTGAACGGAGGCTGAGTTTGAACTGATCAATGGCATTTGGGGGTTGGACACTCGCTCAGGAGCCAGCTAATTCATAATGTCATATGGGCTAGACGGGAAGACCCAGGAGGATAGGCTGCCTTGTGGCTTTTTATCTCTTCTTTTTGAAAAAGGAAAGGGAAAACAGAAGGTGCCGCGCTTGGCATTCAGCATTCAGAGAGGAACTCTGTCCCCACTTGACCATGGGAACGTGGGGGCCGTTTCTCATCCTCCTGCACCCCCTTTCTTCCCAGAGACCTGGCAGCCTCACCGCGGTGTCCTTCCCGGCGCTGGATGCCGGCCCCTGCGGGCGCCGAGTCTGGCTCTAACTAATTTGCAGAGGACACCTGTTCCTTAATTAACCCCAGCCTGTGCCGTGTGTCTCGCTCTGGGCTCCCTCCGACGCGTGAGCTCGCTGCCATGCAAGGGCTGCTGTTTGGAGGTCTGTGCGCATTTGCCCCATGCTTCCCGAGTGATGCGAGCAGTCTGTGCTCCCGAGCGCTGGAAGAAGCCACGTTGCACCGCCGTCCCCGCCATGGGTGTCCCAGCTGTTGACCGAATCTTCCAGAAGAAACCTTCACCACTGGTCCCACTGCCGTCCCTAGGAGCGGATGTGGGAGTGCCAGGCACGGACCCTCATTCGGAGCCCGTCTAAACTCCGTTCCCCATCACGCAGATGGCACCTCGCGCATACTTCCTACTCGGCCTTGTTGAGATGTGGCTGTATGCTTAGTGTGTTTAACTAGAGGGAGGCTCTCAGGGCTTGGGATCCCACCCAGTGGGGTTTTGTAAACCGCGTCCTCATGTGTAAAAGGGATGGTAAATAGATGGCTGCCGGGGAGGAGGAGGAGACGGATGCAGCATCCGGAGAAGGACCTGTGTAGGCCTCAGTAGCAAGATTCCCTGCCCGCCGTAGGGACTGGTTCTCCTGTGCTACCCGCCCCCCCCCCCCCCCCCCCCCCTTTACGTAGCAGAAGCCTCTAAAAGCCAGTCCTCAGGCTTCAAAAATGAGATCTGGCCTCCCACGTAGCCCCGGCCTGAGAGAATGTGCAGTGTGNCCCCCCCAGCTTTACGTAGCAGAAGCCTCTAAAAGCCAGTCCTCAGGCTTCAAAAATGAGATCTGGCCTCCCACGTAGCCCCGGCCTGAGAGAATGTGCAGTGTGTCCAGCGGGCATCGCAGGTCACAGGTGGAGTGTCCACACCTGACCGGACGCGCCAGGAGTCCAGTTTGGGGCAGGCCACAGTTATTTGGAGACGTTTGTGGCAAGTGTCTTTGTAGGTAATTCCTCAAGACCGCTTCTTCTCCCAGCCTTCAAAAAGGAAATTCTATTGAAGTTTCCCTAAAGTGTTTATTTTCCAAAACACAGAGCTGCAGCTGCTGATGCTGTTGCAAAAAGCCAGCTTGCTCTGCGGGGCTGGTGATTCTGCCTCACTGAGTCCTGACCTGCAGGGGACGCCCCCCCCCACTCCTCCCCCAGGCACCCCTAGCTTAATGGCAATGATTCTCCTCCTCCTGGCAGAGGCAGAGCTGGTTCCAGGCCCCCAGCAGAAAGCCCTTTCCAGAAGTCTCCCAGCCCTGGAGCTCGCCTGGAGGCCTTGTCCCCCAGCTAATTAGAGCCTTCTCCTTAAGCGGTACTTTAGTCTTTGGTGTCATTCATGCTCACAGTGATAATGGACTTGGATAAGAGGTCACAGTTTCTCTCACATCCTGCTCTCCTTAGGGATGGGGGTGGGGGAGGGACGAGCCCAGCCCCCCTTCCGCCAGTGCCCGCCTGCCCGTCACCCTGTCACAGGGGAGCCTGGGACTGGCCGCCAGGCTGAGCAGCTGTGATATCTTCACCCAGATCACAGGGCCAGAGCCTGGCTCCCCAAAGTGGGCCCTGATCCCTACATTCAGGCCTCCACCGCCTGCCTGCCGCACCTCTGGCGAACGTCATTAGCATTAACGTGATAAAATGGCGCAGTGTAAATGTTAATAAGGTCTGATGCCTCTGCTGCTTCCGAAGTGGCAGATTGGAAATGGTCCCATCATCATAACTCCAACCAGCAGCTTTTAATTCCTCTGCTCCCTGAGCATCCAATTTGGCAGGAAACCCTAACCTTCCCTCAGCCCCCAGCCCGGCTCTGCTGTGCCAGATTTTGCCCCCATTTTCTGTGGTACAGACGGTTCAGATTTCCCACAGACTGGCTTTCTAAGACAGAGCTTCTTTTCTTTTCTTTTCTTGTTTTAAATTTCTTTTCCCTGTTCTCCAAAGGGAAAGAGAACTGAGCCCCACACTCCACTCACAGATTTCCTGGCTGAGGCCCATTCTCTTCTTGGTCCAGGCTGTTCCCCTGAGAGATTTGCCCTGGAAGCCCCTGGCTCGGGCTCTCCAGGTTTTCCCTTCTCTCTGAGTTATAAAATTGCTGATTAACAGCATCCCGAGGACCCCTTTCCTCCGAAGCCTTTAGAACAGTGTTGTCTCTACCGCCCTGTGTTGTCAGGGCCCCTGTGTCCCCTCCGCCCCAACCCTTTCTTTCCAGTAAACTCTGGGCTCCTGAGGCGCACCCGGGGTACCTTCCGGGTCCGCATTTCCCTGCCGTCTCACACCGAATCGGTTCTCGTGGCCGGCTCTGTGGCCCGGAAACCCTCAGTGTTTGCCGAAGAGAAATAGCCAGCGACGCCCCTGGGTTGTGGCCTGGGGCTTGCCCAGAAGGCAGTCTCGGGACAGGAGGCCTGAGGAACGGCCAACGAGCCTGGCTCTGCATTTCTGCTGTACCCAGGGGAACCCACCACGTGATGCCATTTGCCACCAGGGAGCCTCCACAGGTCCAGGTGCACACCGCGGGCAGAGGCTGCATGGACGGCGTGTCCTCCCCATATGCGCGATGTGCCGTGTGCACCTGGCCCCTGCACCCCCTCATGCTTGTTTTTGTCATCCAGGCTGTCTTTACTCTCCTCCTTGGACCCTTCACCTTCTTTGACGTCCAGAAGACCAAGTACCTGCAGATCCTGACCTCCCTGATGAGATGGGTTGGTGAGTAAGAGACATCTCGAGACTCCCCTTTCTCCCCTTGCCCTTTGCTCACCCATTCTGAGCGTGCTGTCACTGGCAGAGCTGGGGTGTGGCTGGGATTCCGTGGGCTCTTAGGGACCAAGAGGAGACAGGGACTCTGCTTCCCTTTTCTCTAGTGGGGAAATACAGTACCGGCAAGGATAAGTGACTTCAGGATCACATAGTGGGGACGGAGTCAGAGCCAAGCCCAGACTTTTTCACACACCCACGCAGGTGTCGCCCACCACCCTCACCCCCAAGGCTCCTAAAGGCCCAGGTCTGGCTCTGCTCCCTCAGGGCACGAGAGCGGCACTGCTCTGCCTTCTCGCGGTTGCGCCATGTGGCACAGCCCAAAACCCAGTGGGCTGTGGCAGCCGCCTCCACGTTCCCGGCCAGCAGGGCATGAAAAGATGCCCTGCCCACGATGCCTTCTGACCGACTGCTGCCCTGCTGAGCAAGAGTGTCATTGTCCCCAGGAGTAGTTTGGGGGTCTCTCCCCACTAAAGCAGATTTGTGGTCGGGAGCTCATTCATGCCGCCACACAGTTCTGGAAGGCCCATGCTGCTGAGCCCCTTAGACCCAGGACCGGAGGGTGTGGGGTTCCTGGTGCCCCCGTTGGCCGCCACATGCTTTGGGTTCATTTGTATTCCTGTTTGGGGCTAAAAGCATAGAACACGATGGCTGTTGTGGTTGAGACGCCCGGTAGAGTGAGTCTGCCAACCCCCAGCACCTCGCCTTCCCCGGGCACAGAGCTCTCTAAGGACCCCAGGGTCGAGATCCCTCCCTCCTCACCCTCTTCTCCAGCTCCTTCTACCACTGCATCTGTGCCCTCACCCGGCATCAGGACGCAGGGTGCTGCTTGTTCCTCATGCCATGCCGGACTCGATTAGATCACGGCGAGCACAGAGCCGCTTCTGATAACAGTGCTTTCCAGCAATTCTGGCACATCCGATCCTCTGGTTCCCCCCTCCACTCGGGATTACAGGGTCCCAGCCCAAGGAGCCACCACATCATAGGGGCCTCGGCATCTCCATCGGAAGGGACCGTGGCGGGTGTCCAGCACAGGCCCCGCGAGCGTGCGCGTGGAGTGGCCTCTTGCCCAGGAGCTCGTGGCGGGGAAGGCCGCTGCCCCACGCTTCAGGGGTGGTTTTCAGCACTGGCAAGTCCTGCCTTGAGCCCGATTCAGCAGCGTGTAACTTCTTTCCACCTCGGTCCTTCGTTGCAAGAATTGAGAGCAGGACTGAGTCATCTGCTGTGTGAGCTTTGAGGCCTCTGTAATATGATAGCGGGAGGGCTCTTGTCCAGTCCCTGGATGGGGCGGCCTTCCTTACCTCCCCCGCCCGGCTGATCCAGTCCTCAACGCACCCGCGCAGTGCTCTTTGCAAACGTTACACGTCTCAAAGCCCTGGGGTAAAGTAACAAGACCACCTGGGAAAAAATGGGAACTCATTACTTAGAACATGAGGATCATGCTGGCCCCAAAGGGAAGGTGCTGGAATGGAGCCCCTTCGGGTGCCGGAAGGGCCCCCAAGGTTGGGGTCAGCCAGGATCACAGCCACTGCTCTCCATCCTTCTCCTTGCAAGTCTGTTTCTAGAAAGTAGGTGAGAACCCTGGTGACCTGCAGAAGGAAAAGTTCTCTCAGTAGAGCAGTACTCAGAGGAAAGTATTCCTCCTCTTGTCTTCCTGGCCCCCCTCTGCTCCCTACAGGCAGATCCCAAAGTCCTGAAAGTCTTGCCTGTCCTTGACCTGCTGCATCAACAGCCATCAGGAAAGGTAGAGGCAGGGCGGGAGAGGTGGAGGGACTCCTGCGCGGTAGCCACCATGATGGGTCCCCGCGGCAGCCCACAGGAGGGCTGCCCGCATAGTGACAGTTTATAGCTTCTGACACACCGAGCCTGCCGAGCGTGACCAAGTCCTCCCTGCGTCTGGTGAGCAATACATTCACTAAAAGGGAGGAGGTGGTTGAGAGGGAGAGGAGGAGGCTGACAGGAAGTCAAGAGCTGCTGTCTGAGTGCAGGATATGAGACACCCCCAGACTTGAGACCTGGCCCACGTTGCCCGCAGGGCCTCCGGGGACCTCAGAACCATCTTGGCATATCCCTTGCCTCCTTTCCACACTGCTCTTCGAGCCTGTTCGAGGCCTCTCCTCCCCAGAACCCAGCTCAGATTGCTTTAGAAAATTGCTCTCCACTACCCCCCCACCCCGACCGTGGCAGGCCGTCCTGCCCCCTTGCGACACCATTTTGCCTCCACATCCAACCAGAGCCCCTTCACACAACCCAGCAGGGCCGGGTAGCCCTGGGACTGCAGCAGGGTCCGCGCCTCCCTCCTAGAGGCTCCTGGGCCCTGTGAGGTGGGGCCCTGCAGTGCGGCAGAACGAGGTGGCGGTTGGCCTTTTGGGGGGGTGCTTGTCAGCAGAGAGGGCCTTTGGGACAGACCGGCATGGGAAGGTCCTCCACACTCGAGTGTTGGCATGGTGACATTGTTGTCACTGCAAGTCGTTTGTCTCTTCTCTCCCTTTGATCCGAGAGAGAATCAGATGGCACTGGCCTCTCCGCAGACCTGTTCTTGAGCGCTCTGGGTGACTGCGCAGACAGTCCTTTTTCTGCCTGAGAGCGTCAGACGCCTGCACTTAGAAAGCAAACCTCTCTGTGACACAGAGTCCTCTGAAGCGAAAGAAGTGCCCAGTTAAGTCAAGTCTAAATTGTAGCCAAGCCTCAGTTTCGATTCCCAGCCTGGGGCGTGGGAGCCACCAGGGGCCGTTCCTCCGTGGATCTGGTAGGAGGTGTTTCCCTCATCGTGGCCCCGGGGCAGCCGCACAGCATCAGGAGCCGAGGCAGGGGACAGAGATCCAGGAACCCCCGGGAGCTGCCGGGCACCAGCGGACAGGCAGCGCGACTGCAGGAAGGGGTGGGCTCTGCCCACTGGGCGTTTGCAAGGGGCCCTCTCTCGCCTCTGGCCCAGGCTCACCCCAGGTGATGTTACTAGCACTCCTCCAAAGGCAGCACCAAAGCCCCGTGCGCCCCCTCCAGTCTGTGCCATCATTTTGCTTCTGAGAAGCAGCTGTGTGGCCGTGCCCCCCTCCCCGTGACCCTCTCTCCGTTCCCACACTCCTGTGCACCCTGCCCCCTTCCCTGTCCCCAGATTAGGGCCCAGACTGTCCCAAGAGAGCCGAGCGGGAGTGCAGGGTGGCAATAAGCCGACTTGGGTTCTAGGAAGACAAAAGGGAAGAACGAGCACCAAAGGGACCGGAAAATCATAAATAAATGTGCTGAGCCAGAAACTTTCTTGTGCTTAATTAGGAATTTGTTCTGCCATCTGTTGAAACGAGGCCCGGGAAGACCGCGGGAGCCCCACCCCGAGCAGGGCCACCGGAGCTCAGGACCCGCTGAGGAGGCTTGAGGCTGGTTCCTCGAGGCCTTCCTCCACGCTCCCCTCCGGTTCATCAGTCCTGATGCCTGTCATGCCGCCAGAATGGGGCTTAAAGGGTTGGATGGCCTTTGCAAATAGCCACTTGTCCGGGCAAATGTCACAACGTGTATGACAAGTGCCAGTGTTAATTCATCTCTTTTGCTCCCCAAGTAAATTCTGGGGAGACCAGGCTGGTCAGTTTGGGAGATGCCTCTTAAAGTCTCCATTGCCATCAGGCAGGTGAGGCTGTTAAGGTCTTATCAGACTTCCCAACCCTACTTTGCTGTCTGGTCACTCACCCTGGGGCTGCGGCTTCAGATCAGCGGGGGGCTCCCCAGCCTGGGCTTCTGCTCTGGCCCCTCCTCCCGTTGTTCCCTTTAACTCAGGTCCCAATGTGCACCAAACAGCCCAGGCCTGTCTGGCAGTGGCCAAGGCAGGACCCCCCCCCCACTCCCCACCCCTTGGAGTGGCCATGAAGATAAAACGGGATCTGGGATGGTGTGGAAGGGGCTGTCAGCACAGTGCCTGGCCCTGGGTCAGTATTCGTGTATTAGCCACAGTGAGGGAGCAGCCCTTCCGTCACCATCTCTGGTGGCCGGCACATTCCAGGGGCGGTCCTGAGGTCAGGGACGTGGCCCCAGCCACCTCTGGAAGGAGCTGTGGCTCCGGCAGTGAGATCTTGAAGCATTGCCAGTTGGCTCTGTCAACCCTCCCTTTGCCCCACCCCAGCGCCAGCCCCCAGTGCACCCCCGCAGCCCCACCAGCCTCCACCCTCACCACCTTCAAGGAAGCTTGAGTCGGAGAGAAAGGAGCAGCAGGCACTTCTCACAGAATGGCCTGGGGCTTCCTCTTTAGGTCCTGGCTCTCGCTCTGTCAGGGGTCAGTAGACAGGGGACACTTAGTAGAGACACAGCCAGAAGTGCTGTCCCACAGGCCCAGGAGCTGTGGCCGCAGAGTCTGAGCCCTAAACCACTAAGCGAATGACTAGACTGTCCCCACCTGGGACGCCTGTCAGGGAGCTCTTCGGCTGGAGGGGCTGAGGCAGCATCATTACTTTAACCCCCATTACCAGCTTCCGCCGCAGACGCCTCCCAGCTGGGGATACACACAGCTGGCTCAGCTTGGGGTGCCCCATTTGGTGTTATTAAAAAACCTGATTCTTTCTAATAAAGACTGCTCTGGAGCACAGCAGCCCTCCTCGGTCCGGGCTGGCGAGGACCCACAGGGCTCCTTCCTCTGATTGTGTATTCAGAGCAGCGTGGTGCAGATAGCGCCCGTCTCCATGCTCCCCTCAAAGTGGGTCAGGCGCCAGCCTCTCCGAGCGTCTGTGGGCAAACTCGAACTTTACGAAGTTCCTCAGCCCCGCGTTCCCTGCCTCCCCCCAGCAGGTGCCCCAGATTTGTCTTCCAGACAGAGCCAGCAGGGAGAGGTGGGACTCGGCGCTGGTGGCCCAAGAAGCAGAAGGTCCCCAGGAGGAGACTGTCACCGGGGAACATAAGGGCTCTGCTTTCACCTGTCCCGCAGATTATCTGTGGCCGCTCGGCCAATCCCCTGCAGATCCATGACTGAT